TTTTGCAATTGAAAAATAACCTTCAATTTTTTTTTTTTAACTCATTCATTTGTATTAATCATTATGCCTTATTAAGTACAAGAACTTATAAAATTCATTGCTCAATACTAAATTAAATTTTCTAACACATTACACAATATACTGGAAATCATATCAAAACATTGTAAATCAAAAAGCAATAATATACTTGGTACGCTAGAGAATCATGAAAACATTACATACATTTCACAAAATATTATTCAATTAAGTCAAAAAAATCAAAAATTTCTCTAACGTTACCCCTCACAATTACACATTTCACAAGATTCTAGGTTAAAAAATCAGCAAAAACAACACACAAAAAAAATTTCTAGCTACGCATAGCTATGGCTTGTCTCATTCAGTAAAATAATTAGAGTCTTTAATCTCTTTCTCTTAGAAGTGCTCAAAAAATGAGTCCCGTTTTTACCGACAAGCACTCGAAACTTGTTACAAGGATATACAAATAGCATAGGATTATCGTGAAATAATTCATTTTCCAACTTGTATCATAAATCAGGAATCAAAAATATACATCCAGAAAACACTCAAGGATTTTCAACAGTAAGAATGTACAGTACCTATTCTGCTACATTAAAATATATATTTTTCCTAATTTTAAAGTTCAATTCTGTTTGCCTAACGTTAAAGTCCAAAATTTTTGAAATACACACACATTTTCAAACTTTATCACTCTCGTATTAACAAATAAGCCAACACAAAATCAAAAACTCTAATTAATCCTAGCACATAAAATTTAATACTCCTTCCTTAAAAAGTAAGTTACACAAAATAGGTAAATTCAAAATCCAAATTCAATTCTCGATCCGATCCCCCACTAAGCAGAGGTCACGGCACCAATGTTCTGTTAAATATGCTTAAGTTCAAACGCCGGGAAATAATGTTAGGGTGAAAATCTTACTTCACGGCACCAAACTGTTATATCTTAAATTCATATAAAAATGTTAAATATGAAACTACTTGCCGTAAAAGGCAGTGATCGTATAGTGAAACGTGTACAGCATTTTTGCGTTGTGAAAAAAAATGCATCCCGGGACCGCGCCGTGAGAGGATCGAAAACATAAAACATATACAAGATATAAAGGAAAAGTTCATATTAAATATATAAAGAAAACATACTGTAAGAGGTTCCAGATTAAATATCAGTTTATTCAATTACAACACAATAAGAAAAATCTTAACCTCATCTGAGAGTCTGTTCATTTAAATTCATAAAAAAACTTAAGGTTTGTCTGGTGATTTAAAAGAAAGGAAAGGGAAACAATTTATGGCCTGAGAGTTAAATTTTAGATTCGACGTTGTTTTTACTGCTAAGGACGTTTTTGAAAAAACTTGCCTAAAGTTCCAACACACCAAAAAAAATAATACTTATCTTGAGTGGACATCTTGAAGTGGAGGAGAGCTCATATCTTAGCTCTATCCTTACGTCACTTGGCAAATCCGCAAGATAGAGACTCGAACGGCACGACAATAAATTACATCAGCTATACCGTCAAATCTTACGCCTGCTACTGTTTTCCATAGAAGAAAATTATTCCCACTGGAAGCAAGAGAACAGCTTACACCGCACGGCTGTCTGCCTAGACTCTCAGCTCAGCTCACCACCAAGGAAAACGTAGACATTTAAGCTAGGTGTTTATTATTAAGCTAGGCATTTTAGAGAACGGCTAACGCAGGCTTCCAGTTTGTCTACTAAGGTGACATAATTCCTTCTGTTTTCAAGTCGGAGTTCAGAGGACATCGTCCTGACTTTTGCCGATACAGATATAGACCCAAGTCTCTGTTAATTTTTTTTTTTTGTTATTCGCTCAACAGTTTTTTTTTCTTCGCATTTTTGAGAAAACCCGCGGCCGGGGAGCATAATTGCCGCTCCCCGCCAGGAAGCACTGCTCGATGCCGACTAAATCTTTTCCTTTCTCCGGTCAAGAGTAAGTGGGTCTCGCCTCTAAACCAAACGCGGCCGGGGAGCATATTTGCCGCTCCCCGCCGGAAAACACCCTCTCGGAAGTCACATTTTGTCCAGCAAGCCCAAAAATCAGCGAGTCAGTCCGAGAGTCAGCCAAAAGTAAGTGTCCAACTCAAATTTTCCTTCTTGTCCTTCACCAAACGGGCTCCCACTATGGCTTCACTTATCGCCCCCTTAATTATGGCAAAATCTTCGTTTTCAACTCCAGAATGCGGAAATAAGGGTGATCGCGCATGCGCGCCCTTCTTCACTTAGCCAACACCGGACCCTCAATCGCCAAAACCTGAATGACTTACATTGAAAGACAAGTAGCAACCTTTGACCTTTCCGTCACGTACTTTCCTCTCTTAAGGTCAACTAACAATGAAAATTCTTTCTCGAACATTCTAAAGCGCGCGAAATCATGACTTGGCGAAAATTGCCTCCCTTTCCCTGCTTCTTTCACAATGAATAAAAGTTTGTACAAGATTTACAAATAGAGGAAAATAAATAATACTCTTTTAAACTAAATAATATTCCCAGAAGCATCTATCTTTCCCCAAAAATTAAAGCCTTAAATTAAATAATTCAGAATCAAAATAAAATTTAAATTTCCATAAATCATAAAATCATTCACCTAATTTTTTTATAACGCTATCCGGTAATTTCTCTACATAACAGTTCTTTTTAGTTTCTTATTGGTTTATATAAATTATGTAAAGTTCCTTTTTAGTTTCTTTTTGATTGATATGCATATTCGTGTCGGGGAGGTTTCTGTAGTCAAGGGTTTCTAAAATGCATTGATTTCTAAATAAATTTTTCTGGAAAATTTTATTTTTTTTTAATTTAATTTAATACTAGACTTTACATTGCTTATTTCTCAAAATACTTCATTATTGGTATTTTCCTTTAAACTTTTAATTTTAAACTGCTAATTTCTCAAGGTACCACTTTATTTCTTTTTGGGCATTCTTCACTATGTATTTACTTTTGGTTTTGACTTTTACCCTTGCCTGCATGAATGACGAAACACGAATTGAATGACTGAAGAGTTAGGTTTGGAGGCAACTTCCCCGTGATAAGTCTGTCTCCTGCCTGCTCAATAATCAGTCACTTATGCATTTTAAAAACATTTTTTAGATTAATTTTAATTTGCTAAATTGGTGAATTTATTTCATCATGTTTTGGTTTTGCACTTGATTTACTTATGCTATCTGAATTTAAATGATATTGTAGATTAGTTCGAAAATTAATTCTTTTATATGTTTGCACATTCTTTTAATTATTTTAACTTTAAATTTGCTTTTTTACGTATATACATTTTAGGTAAAATTATATGTATATATATATATATAGGAACTGTAAATATTTATCTCATTATTTAAAAAATCAAGTTACAAAGATATTTGGGGGGGGGAATGGAGTGTAGATTAGCAAGCCTTTGCATAGTATAACCTTGAGTCATTATAAACCAGCTACGCAAGTATAATACAGTGTTTTTTTATTCATATGCAAAACCTTCTATTCATTTACGTGCTTCACTTCGATACTCGCTTAAATGTACTTTTAAAAGTTCTGGTGGTGCAGTGTTCCCGCAGAGGGAACACTCACAATATCAAAGCGGTAAATGCAATTTATTACCTGTATAACTGTTTTAGCCCTAAGGAGACAGTCTGCAATTTTTCTGGTTGAAATTCCAAATTTAAAAGTTAATGCGCAGTAAAGGGGATTGATTGAATGGGAAGATGAATGGAAGAACATGAATGCATAACATCATGGATATCTGGTGTTTTTAAAGACTAGCTATGTTTAAAATAATGATGATGAAAGAGGAAAAGTGAAAGGAGTTAGAATTTGTAATCAATATGAAACCAAACTAAGTTTTAAAGAATGAAGTAAAGACGTAAAAGGATAACAGGAGACGCTAATCACATAAATGCAAAAATTAATCAGTTTCAAATTCAAAAAAGACAGAACTATAAAAGTAAGTGAAATGATTAACGTATGTGCATTGAGTTTTGATATAAGAAGAGTTTTAGATAATTATGATACTGTACCTTTTGGATAGAAAAACCTTTTATAAATTTATTATTAAATAAATGGATGATCTTAAACCAATTTTAAGCTTAAAAAGCTTATATAGAAAACTTAGCAGCATCTGATAAGATTAATTGGAAATGTTTTTTAGATATTCGAAATTATCAGAATATTTTATTGAAAAATTTCAAGATTAATCTATTTCACCTTTGGCTAAAAACCTTTTTAAAATTAATTCTAAATAAATGTATAAACGAATAACTTTAGTATAATATATTATTAAAGTTTCAAAATGATATAATAAAACATATCATGAGGAAAAAACAGATTCATTAAATAATCAGTATAATGAAGAATAGCTAACAATAATAAAAGAAAATACATTCACATATTTGGATGTAGCAACGAAGAAATGTAAGTTCTTACTCTACCAGTGAAAGTTAAAAATTAAGTATAGTGGGAGATTCTGGGCAAATTTTCGAAGTCAATATTCTTACATTACATTTCTCTGTTATTCTACATTAGTAATTTCTATATTATTAGAAATATGTTAAACATAGTTTTTAATATTAGAAAAATTGATAGTGTGATCACTAGATGGCAGAACTAGTCAATAAATTATTGTATTGCTTTAAAAATACTTAACGTTTCAAAATCACGGATCAGTTTGATTAAACAGTTTCTACTTAATAAAAGAGAGACTTTAATTAAGCAAACTTTCTGTCAATCGATCGTAAACATTAAATTCAATTAAAAGGAGAATTTGGCTTTATCAGGAAGTCGAGCAGTATTAGTATTAAATACCTTATTACTATTTTATTTTGTGATGTTTCAAATGGCAACAAAATTACAAACTTAAATGTTTGAAATAGCAACAAAATTACATATTTAAAATTATTCTTATAGGCTGTTTTTTGCAAACCCCCCAGCTGGTTTTTTTTTACATGTAACTTTTATTTTAAATTTTAAGTCTGCGGACCTTTTTTTCCACCTGGGCATTTCTATCCCCCCTTAACGTTTTAGTTTTTCGCTTTTGTTTTTCCTTCTTCCTTAGCTTCATCTATTTTCACTTTTTTCAGCCTCAATTCTATTCCTGCAACTGACAACAAATCACATCATTATTATATGATTATTACATTATTTCTTCATTATTAAATACAATATTTACATCATATTTTATTTACAATCATAATTTAACAGTACTTACGCAGCGACACATGCAGAATCTTTCAAGAATAGATATTGAAGTCCTATCTCGTTGAATAGAGAAAAACATGCCAATCTGTCCACGGGGCTCCAAAAGAAATCGCAATTTTTTTAATGAACCTAACACTGCAATGTATAACCTATATTTTGTTACATTCTATTAATATTATCTTTTTGTTAACAAATGTAATATAAATCATCTAAACTTTATGAAATATTATAAAATTAATATTATTATATTTATTAATAATATTATCAATAATAATATTAATCATAATCTTTCATGAAAACATTCCTTAATAGTTAATCGTATTTTGTCAAACGATTTTTGGCACTTGAAAGAAGAAGATTTGCTTTAAGGTGTTGTGAAATTTGAAAAATATATCGTTAAGCACAAAGTGTCTGAAATAGAACTATCACACTACCAGATTAAAACCAACATTTTCTTTCAGTTCTATTGTAAAAGGTCAGCTACAGAATAACACCAAATCAAGTGTATAGCTTTAGGTACTAATGCTGTATCATACTACACTGTTCAGGTTTGATACCAAAAGTTCAAAAACAAGGAGTATGACATTCAAGAAACAGAGCGCTGTGGCCGGCCTACTGATGTTGATGGCTCGCCTGCGAGAACTTGAAGAAGATCAGTAGGAACTACTCGAGAGCTTATTAACGAGTTAGATGTTAGTGTTATGCCCATTAGTCGCCCTATGCATCGCATAAACTTGACGTACAAGTTCAATTGCTGGGTGTTGCATGAGTTGACTCAAGCACATAAGGACAGACGTGTTCGGGCCTGCACTAATCTGCTCGAATAGCAACACAAGGACAAAATTCTGGACTGGATCGTCACATGTGATGAAAAGTGGATTTACTTCAACGACAGAGGCCGAAACGTGGCAATTTGATTAACAAAAAAGATCATGCTTTGTATCTGATGGGATTGCAGGGGTATTATTTACAAAGAATATTTGGAAAAAGGTAAAACCCTCGACAGTAAAGTGCGTAGCGAGATGTTACTCCGAGTTGATGCTGCTATCAAGGAAAAACATCGAACTGAGTTCTGGCGCCAGAAGGTAATGTTTCATTAAGATAATGCAAGACCATGTGTGTCTGCATTTATCGGCTGAACTCTGTACGGACTCGATTGGTATCTTCTGCCACACCCACCATATAGCGCCGACATCGCTTCTACCCTTCTTCACACCTGCAGCTACATCTTGCTGGTGCTATCTTCCATTCTGCACAAGACGCTCGAAATGAGGTTGATCTGTTTTGGGGCTCGCGGCCACCAAGTTTCTGGCCTTAAGTGTGTGTGTGTGTGTGTGTGATTATGGCAAAGCCTCTAGAGTTATCTGCCTAAGGGGAGCGATGCTACCTAAGGGGAGTTAGCTAGATAATTTTAGTAGAATTGTAGAAACATTAGGTTAATTGGAAAAGCTGGAGAGATGAAATATTAGCAACCGCCTTCGCCTGAAATCGAACCACGGATCTCTGGAATACCCGCCCAGCGGGCAGAACCACTACACCACGAAGGCACTAGTAAAACGGGAAAAATACCTTTATACTAATCTTTTTAAAGGGCAACTGGGGTTTTCAGGGTACCCAATTGCCAAATCCTGTGTGTGGCGAATCCTCATCCAACACCCTTTTAGTTCGGGCGCCACTGTAGAGACATTAGGTTAATTTGAGGCCGGAGAGTTGAAAAGTTATCAAACGGGCGCCAGTGTAGAGACATTAGGTGTATTTTGGAAGCAGGCAAGTTGAAAAATGAGCAACTGCCTTCGCCGGGAATCGAACCAAAGACCTCTGAAATACCGGCTCAGTGTGCTGACCACTTCACCACGAAGACACGCTAGGAAAGCGGGAGAAATACCTTATAGAATTATAATTAAAATTGTTGTATTTCCCCGTATAACACAGCTCGAGACAAATTTTGAGAGAAAGCTATGTCGGAAAAGTAAAAACATAGGAGCACGTGCATTTATCATTGAGTAAATGGATATTTCGATACTTTGTATTTAAATTGAATTAAAATTGAATTAAAATTGAAAATAAAATTGAATTTATATTAAATCAATTACTATGTTAGCTGTAACCGTAATTCCATGCTCTTACTGCTTTCCAGTAATTTTGAGAAGAAGAAATAGCTAGAAATATCTGGCGAGACCGGTTGAAAGCTATAAATACCAGAGAGAGAGCATCTCAGTTCAGTTGCTTAGTTACTCTCATTGCGAGTTGTTTAGTTAGCTGCTGTTATTGTTGCGAATTCAGCCTGAGATCGGATTAGCTTTCTCTTTAAATGCACTGTGCATTGCGTTATATGTAACATTTTCAGTATTTTGAAGTATAACTACTGATTATACTGCGTGATATTGTAAACAAATGTGTGAAAATCTCTGGGAAAATTCCAGCATTCTGATATATTTCTTTTGATAAGTATAAATTTCATTAACCTTGTAGAGACATTAGGTTAGTTTGGAAGCAAGAGATGTGAAAAATGAGCAATGTCTTCGCCGGGACTCGAACCATAGACCTGTGGAATACGCGTCGAGCGTGCCGACCGCAACACCATGAAGGCATGCTCAGAAGGCGGGAGAAGTACCTTATATACTCCCCGTTTTAAAAGGTGACTGGGAAATCCTGGTGGTGAAGAATCATCATTCACCACATTTTAGTTCAGAATAAGAGAGCCCAAGCCCGTGACAGAGAGACACTATAATTCTCTTCGGGTTGCCGCCAGAGTACACGGCGGAAGATCTCAAAATAGCATTCGAAGCGCATCAGCCATCTGATAAAGGAGGAGCTACAGAGCCCCGCACACCACTTCGACGTTCAGACTCTCTTGTCAATTGGGTCGCATCTCTAAACAAGGAGTACTTCCTCAAACTTGGCTCGCAAGGACGCCTTTATCTGGGTTTTAACTCCTGCCCTTTCAGAAGATACGTCCGGCTTACGCAGTGCTACAACTGCCAAGGTTTTGGTCACCTAAGCAGGAACTGCCACAACTCTCCATCGTGCGTACATTGCGCAAAGGTGCACGACAAAACTGTCAAAACTTGTAAAGAACAGCCGCAGTGGACGAATTGTGCAAAATCCAAACAAGAAAGAGGACTGTGCTTGCAATCATTCGGCAGACTAATCATTATGCCCGTCCTACAAAGATGCGCTCCAAACTCTGCTGAAGACCACAGACAAGAAAACAGACATTCCATTCAGCAGAGCTATACAGCATTAGAATTTGCAGTGTAATTTGCAGCCCTCTTCAGTTGCTACCAGCCACATGATTCACAAACAGTGGGAATTGGGGGCTGATATTGGGCTCTTGGGCCCTACCTGGAACCTTTTGTCGTGTCCAGTTATCATTTAATAGGCACTACTTCGCATAACAAGACCTACCTGTCGAATAACAGACTATCAGCCATTGTGTACAATGGTTCACTAACACCAATGCTCTGGCAAAGCATACAGTATCTATAGTCTTGGAAACAACTGAAAATAGACTCGGCTTAATTATCTCGGCTTACTTCCCACCTAGCCAAGATATCGACACTCTGCTCTTCGAACTAGATTACTTGAGTATTACCACTTTTAATTACTATCTTCTGGGTGGTGATTTTAACGCGTCTAGTGCTCTCTGGGGCGCACCAAAAGGAGAAGCTCGATCTGCACCGGTAATTGACTTTATCGAGTCACATTGGCTAGTGATCCTTAATACCTCGGACTCACCACCAACTTATGACATTATGGCTAAGGGATGGCTAAGGGATGGCCAGACCTAACCCTCGCTTCGAGTAACATTGTATCTGAAATAAATGATTGGGCTGTGCAGGACTTCATAACGCTTAGTGACCACAATGCCATAACGTTTAGTTTTCGAATGACACAGAGTGTGTTTATGAAGCGACGTTTTAAAACAGCGTATGGAGGACTCGAAAAGTTCAAAGTTAGCTTTTACCCATATATCGGTCTCCTGATCGATGACCTCCATGCATGTAATTCTACAACAGGTTTGGACAAAGCTTATGAACATTTGATAGATAGTTGCACCATGGCTTGCAATCAAACGTTCCCGGATGACAAATTACAGAAACCGCACCAGTGCCTCATGGTGGATAGTAAGTCTATCAAAAGAAAGAAGCAATTTGTGACGCGTGCGCAGACTAGCACAGGCCGAAAGAGACTCGGGCGCATGACGTAGCCTATTTGCACGATACAAGCACGCACAAGCCAAATATAAAAGGGCCATAGCAACAGCTAAACAGGATTCTTTGTGCAACTACTGCTCCACCAACCTAGATGCATATGGAAAGGTCTTTCAAATAGCAGCGAACAGGGTCTTTAGGCCTAAACTTTTACCAGCAGGGATCCTGCCACAAGGTTCTTTAATATTAAAGGTTAGGCCAAGAACGGAAAAAGCATGCCATTGGTTGCTGGTATTGACGTCACCCGGGTGACAAGAGACATGGGTCGCCGCGTCTGCTACATGATTTTGGTAAAGGAAAAAATGCAAACCAAAGCAAAATAATCATTTTATATGTGATAGTTATAATAACAGACTGGAAATACCGGGTATATACTTTCTGATTAAGCATTTTCTTAAAGCAAATGTTTATTTTATGCACAGAATTCGTACGAAAGCTGAAAATAATTGTAAGCATCACAACCTTTTCTTATAGGAAAGCATTAGAAAATGAAAAACTATATCTAAGTTAATTAAGGGAAATAAATGTTGTAAAACAAGGTATTTTTCAATATTTTTGGGTTGTATTGTCTGCATTAAATAAATCTTGTTGAATAGAACACATGAAAGCATAACTGCTAAAAACCATGGTAATAACATAATCAAAAAGTATTTTCCTATTTATTTTCATTGCTCATGCATTTTTTTAATACAAATGTGTGTGATTATGGCAAAGCCTCGAGGGCTATCTGCCTAAGGAAAGGGATGCCTTCATGGAGGGCTTTCTAAGGGAACTGGCTCGTATACACGTTACACACGGGGATAACCACGGAAACGCCCATGCAGCCAGCCCGTTCGCGGGATTCGAACCTCGGACCGAACTACCAGTGTTCGGCGACTTTACCGCTCGGCCGTTGGTGGGCCTCTAATACAAGTGA